CCGCTCCTCCTCACTGTCCTGCTGCTATCTCTCCCGCTCCTCCTCACTGTCCTGCTGCTATCTCTCTCGCTCCTCCTCACTGCCCTGCTGCTATCTCTCCCGCTCCGCCTCACTGTCCTGCTGCTATCTCTCTCGCTCCTCCTCACTGCCCTGCTGCTATCTCTCTCGCTCCTCCTCACTGTCCTGCTGCTATCTCTCCCGCTCCTCACTGTCCTGCTGCTATCTCTCCCGCTCCTCTTCACTGCCCTGCTGCTATCTCTCTCGCTCCTCCTCACTGCCCTGCTGCTATCTCTCTCGCTCCCCTCACTGTCCTGCTGCTATCTCTCTCGCTCCTCNCCTGCTGCTATCTCTCACGCTCCTCCTCACTGCCCTGCTGCTATCTCTCTCGCTCCTCCTCATTGTCCTGCTGCTATCTCTCCCGCTCCTCCTCACTGTCCTGCTGCTATCTCTCCCGCTCCTCCTCACTGCCCTGCTGCTATCTCTCCCGCTCCTCCTCACTGTCCTGCTGCTATCTCTCCCGCTCCCCCTCACTGTCCTGCTGCTATTCTTCCGCTCCTTCCTCACTGCGCCTGCTACTATACCTCTTCCCTGCCTCCTCCTCACCTGTTCCTGCTGCTATCTCTCCCCTCTCTCCTCACATCCCTGCTCATCACTCGCCGCTCCTCCTCACTGCCCTGCTGCTATCTCTCTCGCCTCCATCCTCACTGCCTGCTGCTTATCTCTCCCGCTCCCTCACTGTCTGCCTGCTATCTCTCTGTCCTCCCACTGCTCCTTTGCCTGCTATCTCTCCACGCTTTCCTCCTCACTGTCCTGCTGCTATCTCTCCCGCTTCCGTCCTCACTGCCCTGCTGCTATCTCTCCCCACTCCTCCTCACTGCCCTGCCTGCCTATCTCTCCCCGCTCCGCTACTTGTCCTGCTGCTATCTCTTGCTCGCCTCCTCCTCACTCCTGCTTGCGATCTCTCCCGCCTCCCCCTCACTGTCCTGCTGCTTTATCTCTCTCCGTCCTCCTCACTGTCCTGTGCTATCTCTCGACGCTCCTCCTTTCAGCTGTCCTATGCTGCTAGCTCTCCCGGCCTCCTCCTGCCGCACTGCCTTTTTCTTGCTATCTCTCCACTGTCCTCCTCACTGCCCTGCTGCTATCTCTCACCGCCCTCCTTCACTGTCCTGCTGCTATTCTCTCTCGCTCCGCCTCACCTGTCCTGCTGCCTATCGTCTTCTCGCTCCTCCTCATTTGCCTTCTGCTAATCTCTCCCGTCCCCTCCACTGCTCCTGCTGCTATCTCTCCCGCTCCTCCTGCATTGCCCATGCTGCTATCTCGTCCGCCTCCTCCTCATTGCCCTAGCTTGCTACTCTTCTCACGCTCCTCCTCACATGCCCTTGCTGCTATCTCTCCCGCCTCCTCACTCCCCTGGCTGCTATCTCTCTTCGCTCTTCCTCAACTGTCCTGCTGCTATCTCTCCCGCTCCTCGCACTGGTCCTGCTGCTATCTCTCCCGCTCCTCCTCATCTGCCCTGCCTGCTATCTCCTCCCGTCCTCCTCAGCTGTTCCTGCTGCATTCTCCGCTCCTCACATGTGCTGCTGCTATCTCTCCCGCCTCCTCACTGGTCCGCTGCTATCTCTTCCCGCTCGCCTCCTCACTGTCCTGCTGCTACTTGCCCGCGTGTAACTCGCTGCTGCTGCTACTGCCTGCTGCTGCTGATGCTGCCTGCTACTGCTGCTGCTGCTGCTACTGCTGCTACTAGCTGCTACTGAGCTTGCTGCCTGCTGCTGCTGCTGCCTGCTGCCTGCTGCTGCTGGCTACTGCTGGCTACTGCCTGCTACGCTGCTGGTCCTGCTGCTACTGCTACTGCTACTGCTACTGCTGATGTTGTGCTGGCTGACCTACTGCTACTGCTGCTGGCTGGGTGGGGAGCCTGCTGCATTGCCATGTTGCTCTGCCTACTGCCCTGTGCCTCTGCTTGCTTGCTGCTGCTGCTGTGGGTCGTGATCGAGGCAGAGATAGCCATGCGGTAGGAACGGTTTTAAAAAACATCGACAGAAATTAGATCGCGCATTTCGGCGTTTACGACCGCCGAGTGAAGTCTAATCGATAGCGCAGCTTTCTCACTCTCTTACTCGCTCCCCTCCTCCTCCTCCTCCTCCTCCTGCTGCTCATCCTCCTCCTTCTCCTGCTCCTCCTCCTGCTCTTACTCCTGCTCCTCCTCTTCCACCTCCTCCTCCTTCTCCTCATACTTCTGCTCTTGCTCCTCCTCCTCCTCCTTTTGCTCCTGCTCCTCCTCCTCCCCCTCCTCCTCCTTCTTTTCCTCCTCCTGCTCTTGCTCCTCCTCCTCCTCCTCCTTCTCTTGCTCCTGCTCCTGCTCCTCCTCCTCCTCTTCCACTTAAGGTATAGGAGGAAATACCGAATTGCGGAACAAATCTCAACGGCTTGACCTACGCTCTTAATATTCGATGGGGGTGTGATGGGGAGTAAACCCATCACCAGTGCGAAATTGGAGGTCACAGG